TTACCCTATCAGCATAAATTTAACTAATAAGTTATAAAAATCAAGTTTCCCTACACTAATCCGTGTCAACTTAGCAATAGTATATTTTTATCTTTCATAAAATGAACATCTTTTTTCCAAAACAAATACAACAAAAATACTGGTGTCATTGAAGTAGAGGCGTCTCCACATCACAATACTCCCTTCCAATTTCGTTCTCTTCTTTTTGTAAAAATCCCTCTTTTCCTTTAGCCCATAGAACAAAGTACAACCCAGTAAACATCACAAACATACCTGTAAGGCTGTGTAAACAAGATAAAAACTTGATGAACAATCTAAACAAACGATCAATCATGTCTAGTGTTAATTAGATCACTAAAGCACATGGTACAACTGTTTAATGCATGAGTATAGTACGAATGTATGATACCTTCCAATGGCAATGGAGTGACCTAAGAAACGAGAAATGACAACAGTGATTACAGTGCCAATTGGATTAAACATGGAAACCAAAACAGGACCTCTCTTCCTCATTGCGTATCCATTGAAGCTTACACAAAATCCAGATACTGTTCCAACCTGCTTGTTTCCAATATAATCGACCATGATTATATATATACACTCGTTTATTTTTTTAATTAAAAAAGTACAAGTCATAGATATTTCAATATTCGTATTTCATACCAATAAAGCATACCACATAAGTTGTTTTAAACACCACACTTGCCATTCTTTTCCAATTTCCTGATCTTGAATAAACTCAACCATCACAGTTAGCATCACACCGATTAAAGATGTTATTGCACACAACGATATAGGCGTTGGCATATCCCTTAAAGCTATAGCCTACCAAAAAAAAAACATTTTTAGCGACACAATTTCTGTCGCGACTTATTTATCAGTTTTTATTACACCTGCAAGATGACATTGCTTGATAGAACTATAACCGCAGCAATGAGATACAAGCAGCCGACAATATGGTCCCTATCGAAAATATAGAAGTGGTCGGTTGGTGGAGACAAGGCGTCGTGTGGGAAGATGTCTTTCGCGACGGTTTTTCGTTTAGTACTTTGCATAATAGTCATTGTAATGGCCCCCACCACACATAGGAAAGTACCCACAATTTTGACCCTACTGTACGTGCATGTGAGGTTGACTTTTTCTAACCTGCATGCGTGTAATATTAAATAAAAAAATTAAATTTGTAAAAAGATAAATTGCACCATTCGTCAAATAAAATGTAAAACGTGGAGTTGGACATGGTATTCAAAGTTAGGGTTAAATGTAAGAGATCACAATTGTATTTTTATTTAATTTCTATTAAAGTATTGCATTTTTTTTTCTTATTAGAATATTGTGTTTTTAAAAAATATATTCAAAGATAATACTACCAAAATTAAATATACATTTTTATTTCTTGCATTGAATGGTTTTGGCTATGATACATGCATGTAAAACATTGCATCTCCAAATAACAAAAATAACAATTTTGTTGTTTCTTGCAATGGGTAACCAACAGCAGACACTAAATAGATGTTTTTGCACGTCTTGTGTTTATTTTTCAAATTTATGTTGATGAACTTCGAGATAACTTCTACAAGTGCATAATACTGTTGTTCAATAGCTTTTACTTATCATTAACCATTGTAATTTATAGTAAATGTGTTTCAGATCCACCATAAATTCAAAGTAAGTCAATACCTAAATGCCCAAGCAATGAGAAAAACGAGACCTGGTGCAAGATTTGGCATTGCTGTAGCCATGGATGCTGAAGTCAAGTTTATCCCCTTCAACATTAACGACTGAAACAACGTCACCCTAATAAGAACAACGAAAATACAATCAAAAGAAAAAATAATTAGGAGAATATAATTAAACCCAGAAATCCAACGTTCTCTCACCCTGAAAACGATATCAAAACCAACTGAACAGATAATTTGGCGCTCAATCTCTTCGGCCATGCTTTCCTGCAACATAGACATTAGAAAAATCTTTCACCTTTTGATATAAACTCAATCGAAAATCTTGAAGGGCATGTAAATGGGTGGTTTCTAAAAGCTTTGGGTACCTTTCGAAGAAAAATGCAAGAGGGGAGAGGATAAGAAAGGTGATGAAATTGAGGGAGATGATGTAAGGAGACTGAGGAAGGCCTTCAGACATGAGATATTTCTGCAAAATTGAGTTTCCGGCGTATATAAACTGGACTCCGATCAATCCACCGATTATTGTGGCGTCTTCGATGAATTCTGGTCTGCTCATTGTAAATGGTTCAGGTTTTAGAATGTTGGTGTGGATGTTTTTAGGCGATGAGATTGAAAAGGATTCATGGATTCTTCTGGTTTGATTAAGAGGCGAAACCCCTAATTTCTATCTTCTTGAATTCTTGTTGATCGATGAGATTGAAGTTATCGCGAGAAGAATTCGATAATGAATGAAATCAAAGAGACCTTTTTTATGTATTGATTTCGAATAAAAATAAGAAACCTTTCAAAAAACAGGATTTGTAATGAAATTTGAAGCCCTTGTCTTGAATTCTTCTTTTGCAATGAATGATGTAGGCATATGTGTTGTAGGAGAGGGGGTGTGGGACCCAAATAGGGGTGTTAATTATCGACATGGATCTTATATCAAACGGGTTTGGATTGAGATTTATGACCGGTTAATCCATCAAATAAAGGGTAGTGTTCGGGTTAATAATTGGGTTCACGGGTCAACTTATCACCCCGTATAATTTTTTAAATGTATTATCGTTTTAAAGCAAGCTCCTCGAAAGTGGTTCTAAATTATAATGATAATTTAAGTTATGCAACTACATCTATTAACCTATGCGTATTGTGTGCCCTAAATCAACTAGTCATTGCTATTATCAAAATAATATATATGTTCATGGGTTAACCCTCCAACCCGCTAACCCATATAATAAAAGACATTAGAGAGGTTATATCCGGGTTGATGTTTTCAATTCGCCAACCGGTGACACGAATAATTATACGGGTCGTATACAGGTTGACCCATCAACTCGAGTTTGACACCCCTAGACCCAAATCTAATTTAATAATCGTATAAACTTTAAATAAAACAAACATAAAAAATAGACAGTTGAAGATATAGTAATTTCTATTTGAAAGATAGTTGTGTTGGGTATTGAGCTTTTAAGAGCTTGTGAGGTTTTGACCAAAAAAAAAAAAAAAAAAAACACTTTGAAGAAATTTTTTGTATGTGGTAGGTAGCAGAAGGTGTTAATTTTTATTTTATATAAAAAAATAATAATAATAATAATAATAAAATAAAATATTTCAAATAGTGTTTAAAAAAAACCGCATGTTGCTTTTTAACGGTAAACACCGATTCTTCTTATATTACTCATAAACTAATTTTCTCTAAGCCATGTCTTGAATCCATAACATGATATACCACAATATATCACTCGGATACAAGCCTTTGGTAAAAAAAACTCCTACCTATTATAAAAGATTTATTACATTGCCCTTAATAAAATGAATCTTGCATTAATAGCTCTTATATAAATGTCATTTTATGTAATTATATTCATTTCAAAAGCTTCTAATTATTTTTTAGCGAATACATATATACAAATAAAAATTACAGCTTTCATCCACGATCCACCAATTAACAATTACAGTATTCAGCTATCAATTAACAACTACCAATAAGTTTTGATAAACATATCCATAGACCAAAATCATTCTTAATCAACAAAAGAAGGAAAATTTTGCAAAAGATTCATTTAGTGGCCAAAAACTGAAATAAGTACTAAACTGGAGGACCAAAGATGTAATTTAGATTTAAAAAAGGGTAAATTACACCGTTGGTCCCTCGTGCACATGCCAGAATGCATGTGTAGTCCCTATTTCCAAAATTTAACTCGTGCAGTCCCTCGTTGTTATTTATCTTGCATGGTTAGTCCCTATTCACGTTAACTGTTAACTCTCTTTCCGTTTAAGCTACCCACGTGCCTTGCACGCAGGGGCATTTTCGTCTTTTTAGGGTTTGTGTCCATATTTAATGCCGTTACACCTTAAATCTTATAAAGAACACTGCAACCCTCTTTTCCTCTGTATCCTCTCGTTCGTCTCTTCCCCTCGTTCGTCTCTTCCCCTCGTTCGATCGATTTCTTCCAAATACATAACAATGATCGATATTAAATGCAATTGTGGAGCCACTGCAGTGATTCGCACATCTTATAGCAAAAGAAACCCTGGGAAACTCTATTATGCTTGTACAGTAAAGGTAAGGTTAATGATTTCAATTTCATTCTTCGTCTTCTCTAATTTTGCCCTAATTCTTCATCTACTTTAATTGGTTCAGGGACCATTATGCAAGTTCATAGGATGGGTGAATGATTATGATCAGGACTGTGATTGTATGGCGTTTAGGATGAAACTTGAAGAACAAAATCGCAAATTGAAGCTTTACCTAGTTATTAGCTGGGTTTTTTTTTGTTTCAGTCCTTATATATAAAGTGTAGGTTAAGTAATGAAGTTGTTAGTATTTTGGTATGTGTATATTGTAATGGAGACTCTTTGTAATGTTATTTGTATTAACAAAAAAATTTCAATTTTAGTTACAATATATTGTGTAATCATAATGTGGTGTTATCAGTTGGTGTTCAAATTTAATGAAAATGTGGTATTTGCAACATATGCAATATACCATTCAATACTAGCATCCAATATAACAATTAAAAGGACAAAAACTCTAAAATATCCAAGATAACCATTGACCATTAACATAAAGGGACATCCAAAATAACAACATAGTCTTATGGCATACAAATAGTTATCCTACACAGCAACAAAGTATCAAAATACAAACATAACAACAAAGTAATATGGCAATAAATGCCTAACAAAAACATAGTTATCCTTCATGATCATGATACCAAACTACAAATTCTCAAAGCATGGGGCTTTTTCCTTTGTTCCCAACTCCATTTTGTACACCACCACTGCTACCTGCTGCACCTTCTCCTGTTGTATTCCCTGCTGCACCTTCTCCTGTTCCATTCCCAGTCTGTGATTGTCCCTTGCAGGTCCTTCCATTATGGCCCACATTTCCACATTTTGTGCATGTTACAGATTTCCATTTTGTGGACACTCCATCATCTTCTGTTGCAGATCTTCTTCTCTTTTTTTTTGGTCTGCCAATAGGGACACGATACTTTGGTGGTATCAACTTGGTAGGACATGTGCTTTTTTCCCACAATAACCTCCCATTAATAGGTTCAACTTTGAAGACATACATTTCTTTCCATGTCTTGAGCCAATAAGTTGGGTGTACCCATGTCTCAGGTATTCCAACATTTTCATTGTTGAGCCTCATATCCCATATAGCTGCTATACTATGTTTGCAGGGTATGCCTGTCAGTTCCCACCTATTACATGAACAAGTTTGTTGGTCCATATTAACCACATACTGATTAGTACCTTCACTTGTAACCTGGTACTTCCCATTGCCACAGAACACTGCCCTACACTGTACTGCCCTTTCTTTAATTTTTTCAAGGGTCTTAGTGGCTGTAGGAGTTAATGGGCCATTAGCTTTATCAATTTCTTTTTGAACCATGACAATTTTCCTCATGATATACTCCCTAATAAACTCCAAGCAACTGATAATTGGCTTATCACGACCCTTCACTATCTTGCTATTCAAACTCTCACACATATTATTCAACAAGCATCACAATGTGCCCTCCCTAATAAAACACAACTGTATTAGATTATATTTAAAAATTATACACTTATAAACATAATATTATATACCTGAGAAGTGGGATCTGGACCAGTGCTTAGGTGGAATAGAATTAAGCCAGTCATATGCTTCACTGTTAAGTTTCTTTAGTTCTTCCATGGCACTGTTGAATTGTGGTATGGTGGTACATGTTGCACATTTCCAAAGACAATCCTTGAATTCCTTGCCCCTCCATTTACGTTTCATGTTCTCATGAAGATGCCTTAGGCAATATCTATGCTCTGCTGCTGGGAAAAGTTTCTCAAGTGCAGGCAATAACCCCTAAATCATCAAAAGAGTGAAGTTGCTTATTGAATTGTAAAACATGCATGTGAAAATGAATGGAGAAATTTATTTACCTTCTGTCTATCTGATATGAAAGTGAAGTTGGAGTTTGCATACAAACCAAGATCATCTCCTAAGTTAGTTAAAAACCAGGTCCATGAATTAAAGTTCTCTGCTTCAACAACTGCATATGCCAAAGGGTATGTGCAATTGTTCCCATCTAAACCCTGAATTATCATGTCAAACACAGTAATAAGCAAACAATTAACTATGGTCAAACATTAATCAAATACTAAAATATGATTATGCACATACCACTGCTGTCAGGATCATACCATGGTATGGACCCTTCATGAATGCACCATCAAGCCCTAGTAAATCTCTTTTCCCTGCTGCAAATCCACTTTTCAGTGGACCAAGACAAATGTATACTCGTTCAAATACCCTGGTCTCAGATGCATAACATGGTTCACTTTGCACTTGAAGTTTGACTGTGGTGTTTGGATTTCTACTCTGCACCTCCTGTAAGTAGTCTCTTAGACATGAGTACTGAGCAGCAAAATCTCCCCTAATTGATTCCAGGGCTTTCGTTTTCGCCCTATGAACTTTCATGTCTGACAATCCAAGTTGGTATTTCTTCTCAAGCATCTCACGTAATGCTCTAAGTGGTATTTCTGGGTTTGCCTCCACTGTGTCAACAATCTGTTCAGAGAGAAACTTGTAGTTACATGCCCTAATTTTCCTTGTTTGAAGGCACGTATGTTGCTTTTCATAGGTCTTAACAGTCCAGTTAATGTCTTTTTTCCACTTACTCACTAGTAGGACCCATGGGCATTTATGAATAGAACCATCTTTCACTTTCTTTTTCTTTTGACTTGGTCCCACTTTGTCATTACTTTTGCTGGTCCCACCTGTTTCTAATATCCCAAGGTTTGGTATTGTCCCTTTGCAAACCACTCTAATCCTATTTTTGTCATTCTTGACGAAGTCTAACTCCCTTCTACTCTGTATGGAATGAAGATAAATTTGTTGTTTAACTTCCTTGGCTGTGCTAAAAGTCTGGTGGATGTAAAATGGATCTTTGACAGCAGCTGCTTCATTCTTATGTGCTCTTCGTAAATCTCTTATCTTCTTCCTTTTTTTACTAGCTTCACCCTCATCTGATGAAGATGCAGATACAAATTCTTCAGTGTTTATAACCTCTAATTCTTCATCACCTTCTACTGCTTCATCTCGATCATCAGGAAAACTTCCAACCCACTCCACCTCTTTGTCAATGTTGAGGTGAAAGTTCTTCATATCAACCTCTGGATCATCTAACAAATTATCTTCATCAACTATGTAATCGCTATCTTGACTGTATTCACTATCTTCAGTGTCATCACTATCATGACTGTCTTTACTAGCTTGACTGTCTTCACCTGCTTTTTCACTATTTGGTTCATCTTGTTCCATAGGAGTCCCACCAAAAGGTTCACACCATTCAAATGTATCATCCCAACCATCAACATTAGGACATGTGCTTCCTATCATTGGTTCAGTCAAAGGGCTTTCAATTCTTGGTATATAGGCAGGGGTTGACTCAACTGTTTCACTCAATGTAACAAGGGGTTGTTCCAAGGTTGTTTCAAGTAATGTACTAGGGGGTTCGTCCATAGTTTCTACATTCTCAAAAACAGGGGCTTCTTCACTAGGACAATCCCCTGAATTTGACCATGTCAATAACAAGCTTTTACGACAAAGGGACTCAGGAATTTCGTGTATCTTTATCTTTGCAGGGTTTGGGGACATTTGATACGTATGGAGCTTGGTTTCCCAAAACTCTGTATACACTTCTATCACCTTGTGTTCATACACGTATGACCTAAAGTGGTTTATATCTTCGTCACAACCCAAAGCATACAACCCAAAATCTAAATCCCAGGTTGGTCGTTTGAAATGATAATAAATACTTTTACCTGGTTCCACACAACAAGCAATTCCATTATCTCGTCCATATCATGCACCGAGAACAAGTCACTATCAATGCCATCAATATATTTCATCTTCCCCTTTATGTATTTGCGGCCTGGAAACTTCGTAAAAACTCCACCATAGTTCAATCGTATCGAGAACATACATGGATTGTCAGCTGCGAACCCAAAAAAAAATTACGTTTTAGGAACGTATAATGGATGATCAACTGAAAATGTAGAAAATTTTACCGTATGAGCTTTGGAGATTGTATTCCTCCCATTCTTGCCTAATCCTCCAGTTCACCATCGTAGAAAACTAGGGTTTTCTCGTGCAATGCTAAGGGTCGACGGAGGATGAAATCAGAAATGATCGGTTATCGAAGTCGCGCCATACTGGTTCATGTATACAAACCTGAAAAGACGAAAATGCCCCTGCGTGCAAGGCACGTGGGTAGCTTAAACGGAAGAAGTTAACAGTTAACGTGCATAGGGACTAACCATGCAAGATAAATAACAACGAGGGACTGCACGAGTTAAATTTTGGAAATAGGAACTACACATGCATTCTGGCATGTGCACGAGGGACGTGTAATTTACCCTTTAAAAAAATGCTCCCTATTATGATGAAATTAAATAATATAAGTTGAAGTATATCGTTGTTCACTTGTTCAATATAGACAATGATACAACACAATCCGTGAAGGTGCCTTTGTTCAGATACTTATGAAGGTTTTTGCTAATATTACAAAAACTAATATACCAAATTATAAACATACCCAACACCACTTTCTACAAAATCATTTCATCACAAGCAACCAATTCTCCCAAATAGACAGTTCTGACCTCCATGAAAATGACATCAACAATAAGATGCCTAACAATGGCGACAAACCAAATGGGTACGATTTGGTGTACAAGATTCGAGAATGTACGAATTTGGGTCTGTACAACAGTGGCCAACAGCTTCACTCCCACGTTTTGAGATACGGGTTCAACTCCGATGTATTCGTTTCATCAGCCCTCATCAATTTCTACGTTAAACTGGATCTAGTGGAAGATGCACATAAACTGTTTGATGAAATTCCTGAACCAGGTTTAGTTGCTTGGAACTCATTGATCACTGGATATGTTCGTTCTGGGAAGTCCCGTATTGGTTTACATCTGTTTCTTCAGCTACAAAAGTCGACAATTTCTTCAGATTCATACTCGTTTACTGCTATTCTACCCGCTTGTGGACAGCTACATTTAGTACAATTAGGCAAATCGATTCACTCTAAAGTTATCAAATTTGGCATCCAACAAAACGCTTTCATAGCAAATTGTTTGATCGATATGTATGGAAAATGCAATCATGTAGAAGATGCAATCAATATTTTCGATGAAACATGTTTCAAAGATACATTTTCTTGGAACTCGGTAATCGCTTCGTGTGCTAGAAACCAAAGAATCGAACAAGCATTTCACTTTTTGCATCAAATGCCAAACCCCGACACAATATCATACAACGAAATCATCAATGGAATCGCACAATTCGGAAACATACAACACGCGATCGAGATTCTATCAACGATTCCAAACCCTAATTCCTCTTCATGGAATTCAATTCTAACAAGTTATGTAAACCGAAATCGTCCAAGAAACGCGATTGAATTCTTCTCCAACATGCATTCGAACAACATAAAAATGGATGAATTCACATTTTCAAGCATTTTAAGTGGTGTAGCGCGTCTTGGTACTCTCACATGGGGGATTTTGATCCATTGTTGTGTTGTGAAACACGGTTTAGATGAATCGGTAGTTATCGGGAGCAGTTTGATCGATATGTACGCGAAATGTGGGTTTGTAAACACCGCGGAGTTTTTGTTTGAATTGTTACCCGATAAAAACTTGGTGACATGGAACACGATGATATCAGGATACGCGCATAACGAGAAATCCACCAAAGTGTTTGAATTTTTTGAGAGACTGAAAGATGTGAAAGATTTAAAACCAGACGGGATCACGTTTTTGAATGTGTTATTGGCTTGTTGGCATGATAAGGCATCGTTGAAAGTTGCAAATCGATACTTTGAATCGATGATTTATGATTATAAGATTGATCCAACGGTTGAGCATTGTAGTTGTTTGATTAAGGTTATGGGTTGTGAAGGGGAGATTTGGAGAGCTGAGGGGGTGATAAAGCGGTTAGGGTTTGAGTCGAGCGGGGAGGTGTGGAGGGCGCTGTTGGCGGCTTGTGGTGGTTGTGGGGATTTGGAGGTGGCGGAGATGGCGGCTAGGAAGGTGATTGATCTTGGAGGCGATATGGAGTTTGTTTATGTTATGATGTCGAATATTTATGCCCAATTTGGGAAGTGGGAAGATGCGAGAGTAGTGAGGAAGGTGATGAGAGACAATAATGTGATAAAAGAGGCTGGTTTTAGTTGGATTGACATTTAAGTTTTAATTTAAATAATGTATTTCCATTGATTTTTTTATTACTTCATTTTATACTACCAAATCATAACATATACACGTAGCTACTATTAGTAAAAAAATAAAGTAGAGAAACAAAGTCAAAACACATGCAACATAATTGAAAGTAGAACTAAAGAAGAATATGAAAAGACAGTGAATAACTTCACAAAATCATAACTCAAACTGAATTTGTTTGTGCTATTTTGTAATGTTTGAAGCATCTTTTTATGAATTACAAAACAATGAGGATGAATTACAGAACCTGTCTTCTTGTTTTCTCAATCCAAATGTCTGCTAACATGTCACCTTGGAACAGATAAACCCAGCTCTAATCCAAACAAATAAAACCCATATCAGATAATACTCTTTCTTCTACTTTAATTCAGTAAAAAAACATCATGCAAAAAAAACTTTCTATCTAAATGGTTTTTTTTTTTTACTTCCTAATAAAAAGTTTATATATAAATGATCCAAGTAGTAAAGTTGCATCTTATTATCATCATGAAGCAAAGCCCACCTCTAGAAACAGCATAATCTATCACGTTCCATCAAATTCATCTGAGGAAAACGAGAATAATCTCATGTTACTTAAATTGTTTGTAGATTTAATTTAAATTAGTTCCAGAATTGGAAATCAGTCACACTCTGTATAGTGTATAGTTTACAAGCCAAATAAAACAAGCAATGAAAAATAGAGTAATGGTTTTGGGAAACATTAAATGCATCATATACTAAAGAAAATCCGAGTAAAATTCCTTGGTATTATCATCATGATGCGGGCCCACCTCTACACACAGCAAATTCAATCACGATCCATCAAATGCATCTGGGAAAATGAAAATTCTTGTTACTTTTATACTCTAGTTTCAGCTATATGCAACAAGTTAGACTCACAGCTTTCACTAATCATTCACAAATCTTCATATTTCAGCAATTTTCTATATTGTTATATTTGATAAAATTAGGTCTGATTTTATAAGCCTAAAAGTTTTAAGATGACAGAGGACTCATACTTGATATGATGACAGATCTTGTATATCTTTATGCAATGAGAAACTCATGTGCCTGCATTAACCAAACTTCCAGTCAGATCTAAACTAGGTGTGGTCTTTGAAGATTTTAATTACTTGTTTTTACTTTTTATATGATATGCAAGTGTTTATGTTCCTAATTGAATATCTAAACAAGATCCTTATTTACAATAACAAAACAGTTTAAAGACATGTTGGCATGAAAATGAAAGAATTCACCTCTACAAGAAAACAGTAGAAGAATTAAACAAGATATGAATGAACACATAAGGCTTGTATTTGTATATCACATGGGAGAAGTTGTGACTCACAGTCAAATAACAAAAAACATATTAGAGGCCAGGAGAGGTACGGCAGAGTGTACCCTGTGAAAGAGATCTGCAACTCCTTGAAGTTGTGCTCAGGCAGGATGTCAATCTTGCTGCAGCGACTGCATTATGTAGGGGTAACAGAGATTGAACACCTCCGAGTTCTGATGGACACCTATCAGATACAGTATTGAAAATTCGTTAATATGTTATGAAACTTCTCAAGGTTTCTTAGCTGTATACAGTAAATTCAACAATAAAATGGTGCGATTCCTGATTAAAAGACAAAAGGAACACATACTACCGAAAATTCAACTTCCTGTTTTTGAATCGTACTTGTATCAGTTGTAAATCGTAAATTGACATCAGATGGATCTTTGTTTTAGAAAGAAAACACGTACCTTGACACTGAGAAGCGAGGAACCGGTGAGGTGGTAGACCTGGTTGGAAGAGGAAATTTTGGAGACGAAGGGGCAGATTTGGGCATGGAAGCCGTCTTGAAAGCGGATTTGAGATTTGCAATTGAAGATTTGTTCATGAATCTGCTGCATCTTGAAGCCATTGGCAATACCGCGGGATCGGAGATCTGATGGAAAATGTAAAAAATATCCAATCCAAATCAATCCAATTTTGATGGTCTGATAGGGTTTAGGGTTTTAGGGCAAGCGACAGTTAAACAATCGGGTCGTGTCCCATGTGGTTGAGTTACATGTTACCCGGATAAAATTTCACCCGGGCTGCTACCCGATTCTTTCACCTAAAAGAAAATGAACATTTTTTTTTTTTTTTTTTATAAAGGGTATTTAAAAAAGAGTCTTACGACATATTCCTTTTATCAATTTGACTATTGAAATTTATTAATCTTGATTAAATTATTTTATTACTTTTAGATACTTACATTCACATATTTGTTGGGTTCTACAACCACCTATTATCGACGTACCAAAGTGTTCCAAAGCCCTTGGTTTTTAAGGGTTTCTCCATATTTAGAGATTTTAATTTATGGATTAGGGCATACTTTTCAGCCTCCAATCCTTGGACACGAAACTGTAGCCTCCATGCATTAGGGGTGTCAATTTATGATACGACACGACAAAAATACACGACACGAAACGAAATCAAAATTCGAATTCGTTTTCGTGTCGTGTTCGTGTCAAGTTTAAAAAACACGATGTCGTGTCGTGTCGTGTCCGTGTTTACAAATCCACACGAAATTGACACGATTGAGCATGTATTTATCGTGTTTTCGTGTTTGGCGTTTTTATCGTGTTATATATGATTAAATATGAATTAAATAAAATAATAGTTATGTAATATTATCTTTGTCATGTCGTGTCGTGTTGTCGTTTTTTAATTGGTTCGTTTTCGTGTTAGTGAAAAAAAAACACGACATCGTGTCGTGTCGTGTTCGTGTTACAAAAAACATTATCGTGTCGTGTCGTGTCAGACAAAAACACGACACGACGGTCCGATTTGACAGGCCTACCATGCATGATTGAGAGCTTGTTTGCTTGATTTTGGGCTTGTTCTTTAGACTTTGGTGAAGCTTGAGGAATGAGGGAATTCATTTTGGTGCAAGGAAGCATGAAGCAAGTTTGGATCCAATATCTTCTTCATATT